GACACGTGTATCGGATACGCGTGTCCTTTTGAAATTAAATAGTATTTTAATTGGATACGTCTATGGTGTATCCGACACATATCGGTGGAGTATCGGAGGCGTATCCGTGTATCGGTGTATCAGATACAGCACGCCTTCATAAATAGGTGTATCGGTGCAACATAGATGTCCTTATTCAAAACTATGTTCTACTACGACTGAAAATGTAACTAACAATGGTAGATTCTTATGAGAAATCTCGAACCTCATAATTAAAATGAACTTCAAGGGATTTCCATGTATTTCGTATTGAGACGCCTTATCACAATATAAACATATTGGATGCACCGCACCACCTAAAGATTGGACAATAATCATTTATTATCCAAGGTTATCCTATGACAATAATAGCAATATAAGATGCGCTTTATACAATAGCCTCTATGGAATCAACCACAATTTGAAGATTTGAAAATGTTCAAGGCTGTCGTAAGCAATGCAACCATATTACCGTTATGTAGTCATTAGTGCCATATGGTACATTGTTGGCCATGTTGTTGCACCTTTTTAATCAACGGTGGGGGTTCAACCTTGGTTCCCTCGGCATAGCTTTTTCTAACTGCCTGTATCCTTGACTTGGCTTATGCCACAAGAGCAAAGCAAGTCAAACATGCTGTAAAACTCATGTTTCTTTTATTGCTAGGCTGGGTTGATTTCTTCCCTTTTTTCCGCCTTTATAACCCTCTATTTATAGGGCCAAGTTTTGGCCTACTCAAGCAATGAACTATTCAACTACTTTGTATCTCTTCTTCTTTTGTACATCTTGTTTCTCACATGATATCAAAGACAGTTTCGAGTTAATCAATGGCCAACAACTACAGGAGGGTCCCAATAGGGTTAATGATGTGGACATCTTAGTTATAATATGATTAGGGATTAATATACCCTTTTTTGCCTTATAAGTCCTATTTACTTCTGCTGTTTTCCACTGCCAAATTACTTTTTTTAGTTACGGTAGTACAAAACTACCTATTTCTAGATTGTTCTATTGCAAAGTTACATATAGCTGATGTAAAGAGTCTTGGGGTCAATTAAGGAAGAATATTACATCTCTTTCAAGCTTTAAGCTTGTGCTTGTCCCTGGATTGGGAATTCCTTCAAGCATCTTCTTCTTCGAACGATCCAACGACTATCTCCCCACATCAGTTGGTATAAGAGCTCAGAGCTTGCGAAGAAAGATGGACTGCAAAAGAAGGTGGGCTGTCGACGATGATCGAAGCCGGAGAAATTGGGTGTTCAACAAAGATCGACGCCGAATAAGATGGGCGGCCGACGAAGATCGATGCCGAAGGAGATGGGCGGTTGACGACGATCATCGCCGAAGGAGATGGGCGGTCGATGATGATCGACGCCAAAGGAGATGGGCGGTCAACGACGAAGAAGCCGACCATCCTCCGCTCCAACTTCCACTTCAATGGCGAGAATCTCCGCCCCACTATCCTCCGCTTGAACTTCCCCTCAAATGGAGGAATCCCTTGCCCAACCATTTAGTCGACAATCAACCTGCGGCCTTCGTCCACAACTTGCCTCCACTCTGGCCCCAATCAGTCGCCCATGATCCTGCCGCCGATTCGTCTCGCGACCACACTCGCGATCCTAAACCCCTCCTGCAATATTTCGCCTCTACTTCATCCAATTGCGTCCCCAACAAGCCCGCGCAACTCACCCAGCTCCAACACAATCCTTCCCCCGCTGATGCTAACATTGTCGAGGAAGAGTAGTTCGCCGGGCCTCTTCCGCTTCTAGATTCGCAACTTCCCTTTGACACCTTCCACGATACAACCCAGCTTCCGCCTCCTGCAGTCAACCAGCAGCCCATCATACATGCTTCACTTGAACAATCCCATATCAACGTGTCTCCAGCAATTCCAACCCTAATTCCGCCTCCTAATTCGCATGTGTCTTTGTCGTCTCCCCTCTGCTCTTCTAGCGCGCCCGCACGATTGGCCCTGTGTTGGAGTACAACATTACTTCCAACTTATGCTCTCATATCCATGGCCCGAGCAGATCCACAACTCGACACAGATTTTTCCTTCGCTTCATCTCGCGACCAGAGCTGTAATCGTGCTCCTTCTCATGAGTGGAACGACGATTATGATTCCCTCCAACGTGATTCTAGCCCCAACACCAGTCTGCTCCCGCTCCCATTAACACTATGCTCCGACAATCCCAAGCCCACTCCCGCCTCCCTCTGATTTGCATTTTCGCTCTCACTCCCGCTTGGTTCCCATGATCCCACTACATTAATTTTCTTCAATTATTTGACCTATTTTAGGCGTTTGAATGATGATGAAATGAGATGCAACAAGCCAGTGGTGATATTCTGCAACAAGCAGCGGAGAGAAATTGTTACTGTTCATAACATTGCTAGCAAGCAGATTGGTAAGACCTTTATTTTTGATAAGGTCTTCGGTCCATCATCACTTCAAAATGTTTTGTTTGAGCAAGCAGTCTTCCCTATTGTGAGCGAAGTTTTTGAGCATTTTAGTTGTACTATTTTTGCATACATTCAGATAGGTATTGGAAAAACGTACAACATGGAAGGAGGACCAGCTAATGCAAAGAATGGAAAATTTCCAAATGACGTTGGTGTTATTCCGAGGTTTGTTCGTCAAATCTGTGATAAGCTTGAGGGTCACAATTCTCACTATAGTATGAAAGTTTCATTTCTAGAGCCATATAATGAGGAGATAATCGATCTTCTGGCACATGAAGAATCAAGTCTCTTAGAGGACAAATCCAAGAAGCCGATTGCTGTAATTGAAGATGGAGAAGTGGGTGGGGTTCTGTCTTCAAGCATCCTCTAAGGAAATTCAATATAAAGGCTGAGCAAAGTGCAAGGCAACAGCAAAAAGTGGACATGTATATGAGGAGCATGCAACAATTCAGAGAGTTTTTAGCCAAAATGAAGTTTCTAAAGTCCTGCATGAGACTTCTTAATTTGGAAACCAGAGTAAAGATCCTTGCCACACTTCTAAAGCTGGTTTTGAGCTGGATGTGTTTGTCAAAACTAATTTGGCCTCGATGTATGCAAAATTTGGACTCCTTGATGATGCCCAACAGGTATTTGTTGATATACTTGACAAGGATGTTTATATTTACAACACGATGATTTCAGATCTTGCGATGCATGATAGGGCTGATGCAAAATTCATTTGTTTGGAGTGATGGTATGGCAAGACCGAACTTTTATTTTGTTGCTGGGAAATGCCAGGCTAATGAAGAACCATGATAAAGAGGCCCTCAGATCCTTTGAGGAAAGTAATATCAAGTGTTCTTTTTGTCTAATAAATGCTCATTGTGTCGTAAGTTTTATTGGAGGGATTGACCTTTCTGTTGGAGGATATGTTAATTCTCGGGTACGTAAAATCTTCGATCCAGGAGGACTAATTATAATATATGCATCTATCTCCATCCGGATGATGTCGCCACGGAGTCGAACTCTTTCGACACAAGGGAAGTATGATGTGGACATCTTAGTTATAATATGCTTAGGTATTAATATACCCTTTCTTGCCTTATAAGTCCTATTTGCTTTTGTTGCTTTCCACTACCAAATTACTTTTTTTAGTTACGGTAGTACAAAACTATCTATTTCTAGATTGTTCTATTGCAAAGTTACATATAGCTGATGTAAAGAGTCTTGGGGTCAATTAATGAAGAATATTACATCTCTTTCAAGCTTTAAGCTTATGCTTGTCCCTGGATTGGGAATTCCTTCAAGCATCTTCTTCTTCCAATGATCCAACGACTATCTCCCCACATCAGTTAAGCAAAGGTGGAGAAAAAATAGGCTCTTCTTCCACCTTATCAAGTCGCACCATCTTTCCAAGAGTCATGGAGCATTTGATTCTTCAAATCACATCCAACAAATTTAATGGAACGCACCATTTCTTATGATCTCACTCAGTTCAAATAGTGACTCAAGTGAACTGATTGGACATCTAAATCGTACCATCCACCGAACTGAAACAGATAACCCTTTCTATCCTACATGGGATACAAATATCTTAGTGAATTCCTAGCTTATCAACTCTATATAACACGTTAAATTCTTGTACTCGGTAACACTGCACAAGTAATTTGAGAGAAAGTTATGTTAGACCGGTCCAGCCAATCCAGGCGGGACCGGTTCACGAGCAAAATCGCGAAACAGCTCTGCCTGGGCGGAAGCCGCGCGCGAGACGCACGTCTTGCTGGACGGTTTCGGGAAGGAAATTTGAGGAAGTTTAGGAGGGAAATTGATTGCAGGGACTGTTTAGGGAATTCCTTTTGAATTGTATGCATTAAATAATTGATTTGGCTAGGGTTTGGGCATCTTGAATTTAGCTGAAATTTGAGATCTCTTAGATTTAGGTTTTCTTTGGGCTCTAGCGGCGTCTAGAGATTTGGGAGAGATCGATCCTCCTCTCGAATTGAGGATCAAGTGTATCTTTGCTGTTTTCCTTGATTTTCTAGTGAAATACAAGCATATTATTGTGTTTTTCTTCCCGTTTCCCTATTTTCTGCTGAATTCATGCTGTTTGGCTGCTGTGGACAGCAGTTTACTGCTGAAATTTTACTGATTTGGGTTAGGAATAC